CAAGGATTGAGAGAACTGACCCAAATTTCAGCATAAACTCGTTGCAATTTTTTATTGCAGACAAATCTATTCGCTCGGCAACCAGATCAGGCTACTGATGGCTACTGATGGGTTCTGACCATTTTGCTATGGACAGAAGGGGACATCACGGGACTTTGTTGTGCCTTTGTTGTGCTTGCCGTGAAGGTCGACTGTCCGCCAGGAGGCAACCGATCGGTCGTTGCTGCTCAGTGGTAATGCTTTCGGCCTCGCGGGCAGGGTAGTGAAACCGTGCGCCGCATTGACCACCTTCTTGCCGATCAGTGTTTTCTCCTTTCCCGGCAGGTGTCGGCTGCCAGCCCTGTGTGGCTTTTATCGTTTAGAGCCTGTGAATAGGCGAATAGAATTCGCTATGGTTTCAGTTAGTGAACCAGTTAAGGACAAACATTCCAAAAGCAGTTTGGTCATTTTTTCAATCTCTTGAGCACTACCCTTGCTTTATCAAAGGCGAAACTAAAATTCTGATGTTTTCCCCGAACGTGGAGGAGAATTTTTTAACGTATAGCAGAAAATAAGTTTGTTAGTCAATCGAAAGGAAAGTAGGGTTCAAAATATGGTTATCATATTTAAATCAATTTGGGTTATACTGGATTTGATTTATGAGCGTGGGAAGTCGGCAGGAATGTCTGAAAAGTGTCTGCGTTGAAATTCAGGAGCAAGTTATGACGCTCATTGGGCGTTTAGATAAAATTGTACTGATAAGTCGTAGTTGTACGTGAATTACATGGATCCGAGGATGGGAAAATAAGCCTCACGACACAATAAACATTGGAGAATAAAGTCTCAAAGGGTCAAGCGCCTTTGAAAACGTTAAAGAGGTGTTTTTTCCGAGGAAAAAGATAGGAAGAATAGAATTCTTCGTTCCGAGATTCATTCCTGAATGCCTTCTATAATTTCTGATGACAAGACCTATATCGATGCTCAGTGGGTGATTGTATTTGTTAACATTATTATCCGGAAAAAGTGCTGACTAAGAAAAAACTTTGTCTTTGGTAGATAACCAGAAAACTGTTCACGACGAGTGAAGTTCGAATTAGTTCGGACTCACAACCGCAAAAGCCAACATTCTTTTGAAGTTCCTTCAAAACATATCTTGATCATAATATAATTAGTTATCTGCTTCTGCTTTGTGTCAACATACTGATTCTACACAATCTTACCCTTTTGCTCTTAAAAGGCTGAACATTCAGTGCTCAGTTTTTCAGAAGACATAGAAACGTGGATCAATTTGAAAAAAAAAACAATGCTTCCAGAAGAATCTGGCCGAATCTTAGACGTTTTATTGCGAATATTTCTCCTGGCACATTCACTGAGAAAGTGATTAAAATACTTGGGTGTATGTCTCTCAGGAACGAAACCACAAGTTACCTTGACTTTATCAGCTATCTTTGAACTGATTATTTTGGTAGTTGGGCTTCGTCCCTGTTCAGTTTGTGTTATAGTGTTGTATGTTAATGCGACTTCTGACGGCAAATTACTATGGATTTCACGGACAGTTTTCAGCATTCTATCGCTGGAAAGGCATTTCTTACATTTGATGAGTTTCAAAAAGAACTGGAAGCCTTTACCGAGGTAAGTACCTGTATTATTAATACATTTTGGCAGGAAAGTGGCAGTCAATTTATTTTGAAGAAGCGACTTAGACACAACCTGGGGCATTCCATGAGAGATGTTCATCAATATCGTTACGCACATTTTGTTTGTGCCTATGCCTTCTCAACTGACTGCGAAGCTTTCTTTACCATTGCCTCAAAAAGCTCGTGTCTACGCGTCGTTCAGTTCTTCATGGCTCATAACCATGCGGTCATATATAACCCTGCTTTCCGACAGCGCGACCCCAATGGTTGGTGCAAAAGTAACCATATTATTTTAACTTTAGACGAGGATGGATATGAAGTTCGTTGTGATCTCTCCAAGGAATTCGAGAGTTCATTTCCTGCGAAGCATTTCGGAACTTATGAAGAATTCGAAGAACAATTAAAAAAATTTCAAGCAGTACTTTTGAGTGATTTATTCACATTCTCGATTCTAGAAAACTCAAAGTATTTACATTAAACGCAACGCATGTCGGTGGCCTGCCGACGCGCCAGAAAAACAACACTTGGTTTACCGAAGACTTAAAATTGAATGTGTACACTATGGGCAGAGAAAAAGAAACAAACCCAATAAACCTAATATAAAGTAATTTTGAGAATTCAGTTACCCCTTTTTTTAGAATAAGCTGTAAACTTGGTTGTAGATCTTGCTTTTACATCACTTCGAGTAACGGTTATATCACAGTTACAAACGTAAACATGAAGCACAACCACCCAGTACCAATAGAAGCGGCACTCCAGTATCCTCAGCAGATAGGCAGGAATTCGGGGGAAGAAGTGAGAAATAGTTTGCATGACTTACTTACAGAATTATTCCGAGTATAATGTAGTTTTCGATGGAACGACCCAGTTTGTTGAAGTCTTTTCATCTGGCAGGTTCCCGACCTTCGACGATTTCGCTAGTCGACTTGAGGAATTCCAGAGGGTACCTTTGTCTTTCCTACAGTAATCTCTTTTTCAACACAGGAGACTGGATGCTTTTACAGCCGGCGATCCACAGTTGTATGGCCTTCTGATGCCTATGGCAAGGAACATCTGAAGTACAAGTTTGTAATATACGACTGTGTGCACTATGGAAGCACACGAAGTACGAAAAGGTGTCGAAGAACTAAAAGAAACAATGGCTTCTGGTAGGCGAAGTGAATATTTGTCACCTTTTAAGTTTTAAAAACAAAGTGGGTTGTAGGTCCTCAATGAGAATTTCGTCTGCCAAAGGTTATGTAGAGATTCTGTCATATGAGATGCGTCACAATCATCCGCCTTCATTAGAAGCTTCAGGAGAGTACCAACCACATAGTTGGCTCCTGTCTGGCATCAGTATCAATGAGGAGGAGGGTCTGGTTGTGAAAAGGCGCCGGAGGGCGAAGAATCGATACAACGAGAGACAACCCAAGGCGGAAACTTCACACGTCTTGTCAGACCCTAATGTCGAATTGATTAGACCGCAGTTGGAAAAACTGCGGGAATTGGCATTGTCCGCGAGCACGGACAGATTCCACGCTTTCGTGGCTCAACTGTCCGACTTTGAATCTGAGTGGAAAGCACGACTTAATTTTCGCAGTCGACAAGGCCAGTATTTTAACTGCACCGACGTTCCTGCTGTTGAGGAGACATAGTGTGCTATGCGCATTTGTACAGCCTGACCTCCATCCTTGTATAAATGTCAA